TACCATGGCCTGTTGCTTATTGTCAGGGAGATAYGGTCTCTCTTTAAAGGGGAGTGGCATCTCGTAATGTCCATGAATGTTCTTCTGAATTCCATKCTTTAACATATCCAGGAAGCGGATGTCATCCTGAGACACAGTCTTTCCGTCTTTGCTAGCGTCCTTAAAGTCAGACTCGAGAACCCTAAGTGCCTCTGCTGGAGTCACTGGAYGAAGTTCTTTGACAGCAACTCTGTGGCACATATTAGTGAGGTTTGGTGAGTCATGGTGTGGTGATGAACAGCCTACAATGCTCCACCCTAGGTCCATCCAAACTGCATATGGTTCACTATTTCCTCCAAGGATTATCTGCCGTGGTGCCAGCGCCCTTGAGCAATTGTAGCCGATCAACAGACCGACTTCACACTCCAGCTGTGGTGGGATTTAATCTGCTATTTTCATTAAATGATTCCAGTGCCGTGCCGTGTCACAGGTAGGAATGTGTGTTCGATTCACTGGTATACAGTCCTTGGTGTAAACAGGAGGGAGATCAATGGGGATTGTAGAGCTGTAACCTATCACTCTCAGACCTGATACTCTTTGACTATGCATTAATGAATCCTTTCCTGTCATTGTTGTTAGCTTCAGCCTTACAGGATGTGTTTCAGTCTGCAGACTATCACTAACTTCTTGGTCAATGAAGACTGTATCACTTTGGGTATCAAGCAAGGCATAAATAAGCCTTTCTATGCCTGGATTGCTAACGGAGGAATCCCACACTGGTACTATCATCAAAGTAGTAGTAGTTGGTTCCTTAGTCTCCACACTGAGAGACAATGTGGTTGCTGTTTCCTCTGTGGTGCTTTGATTTAAGACTGACGTGGTTTTGGCTTTAATGTAGTTGTCATCATGGAGAAGCGTAGGATGTCTTCCTTTACAGCTATCACATGAATGTCTATTGCGGCAGTCCTTGGCATTATGGCCTGACCTCAGGCAGCCATAGCAAAGTTTCTTTCCTTTCACATATTCCCGTCGTTCCTCCAGAGCTTTCCTTTTGAACTCAGGATAGCGATGAAGATGATGTTTACTGTCTTGACAAAACATACATGGTGGCTTTAAACCTGTTTTTAATTGTCCCTGAGTTTCAGTCTCTGTAACTATCTGTGTATGGAGAACACTGGATTTGAACTTCTTTTCTTTCAGATGACGTCTGTCTGTCAGGCTACAGCATATAGACTGTATTTAAAGTTGTAGATCCAGACCATATAGACTATTTAAATTGCTAGATGCAGACCATATAGACTATTTAGGTTGCTAGATGCAGACCATATAAACTGTATAAAGACTTAGAAATAGACCATAAAGACTGTATATAAACGTGTAGATATAGACCAGACTACAGCATATAGACTGTATTTAAATTGGTAGATATAGATCATATAGACTGTATATAGACTTAGTAACAGACAATATAGACTGTATTTGAAGTTGTAGATCTACACCATATAGACTGTTGTGGCAGTAGACCATGCCACAGGGTTCCAACCATGACAGCCAGAGACGAACCAGTCACACCATTTGGGGCTCAGCAACATCTTTTTATTTAAACTTTTACACAAGTCACAAAACACTTAACTTAAAGGGTCCAGCACT